GTTAGTGTGTAAAGTGTGTGAAACTGTACATAATGTCATTTGAGTGAATTTTGAACAAGTAATATTGGGACTAAATGTATATTGTGAACACATTACTGACATGTATCACGGTTCCATGGAACATTATGAATGTTCTACTGTATAAATATTGTATAGGATGCACAAATGCATCAGATAGGATGCAAAAAAGTCATTATAAAGCATTGAAAATACATAGAAATATGATTTGTAAATACAGTGGTGCCTCGATTAACGAATTTAATCCGTTCCGGCACCGAGTTCATCATGTGGAAAACTCGTCTTGCGAAACAACAACAAAACTGTCGTCGGAGGGTTCGAGAACCGGCGGGAACGCTCGTTAGTCGAGCGAAAGCCCGTCAGTCAAGACAAATTTTCCGCGAGTGGCTTGCGCGTTACTCGAAATGCTCGTAACTGGAGCCGCTCGTCACTCAAGGTTCCACTGTGTATTTGTGGCAACTTGCGAGGCTTGAATGTCCCCCACGCGACCGCGTCTGGCAACTTCACGCACAGGGGGACCAGCCCCGTGATGACGTCACGCACGACTCTCCACGTCCTCACCGCCAGAGTAAGTGGAATTTGATCTAATTTTTTTACACGTACATGCCCAGGGATGGGAATTTATGACTTTACAAAGAAAAATACATTTTTTGCAAACACTTCAGCACACACGGGGAATTTCACAATAAATGCAGCGCATGACAGAGGTTAATGATTTTCGTACATGGACACAAAATGAGAAGAAAGAGTTTGGGTTTGGGAAAATCGTCGATCACATTTAAAACCAAATTCTATGGTTCATTGTCATTTTTGGATTTCCCTTTTTTTCACATACAGTACTGTATTTGTAAAATCAATCAAGTTTTGAGTCGTAAACCGTATACAGTAGGAGCAGATGTAAACAGGAGCCGGTGGCTGAGCGGACAGCACGCTGGACGCGTGATCCTCTGGTCCCGGGTTCAATCCCGGGCGCCGGCGAGAAACAATGGGGCAGAGTTTCTTTCACCCTATGCCCCTGTTACCTAGCAGTAAAATAGGTACCTGGGAGTTAGTCAGCTGTCACGGGCTGCTTCCTGGGGGTGGAGGCCTGGTCGAGGACCGGGCCGTGGGGACGCTGAGCCCCGAAATCATCTCAAGATAACCTTAAGACAATGTCTGGGACAATGTCATTGGGACAAGTGTCTGGGACAATGTCATTGGGACAAGTGTCTGGGACAATGTCATTGGGACAAGTGTCTGGGACAATGTCATTGGGACAAGTGTCTGAGACAATGTTGTTTTCAAAAACACGCTTTCCTTGACGGGGGGGAGGGGAGGGATTGCATAAAATATCCGGTTTAATACCAGTCGGCCTCTCGGTAAATCGAGGCATAATTTCAATTGTTTGTAGTGGGGCGGCTCTTGGCATCTCACTCAAATCTGATGTCCATGTTATATGTTAAGAAGTTAATCTTGAGAGAATCAGTAGGCGGTAGTAGGAGGCCTGGTCGAGGACCGGGCCGCGGGGAAGAAGTTAATCTTGTGAAAATTAGTAGGCGGTAGTAGGAGGCCTGGTTGAGGACCAGGCCGCGGGGAAGAAGTTAATCTTGAGAAAATCAGTAGGCGGTAGTAGGAGGCCTGGTTGAGGACCGGGCCGCGGGGAAGAAGTTAATCTTGAGAAAATCAGTAGGCGGTAGTAGGAGGCCTGGTTGAGGACCGGGCCGCGGGGAAGACGTTAATCTTGAGAGAATCAGTAGGCGGTAGTAGGAGGCCTGGTCGAGGACCGGGCCGCGGGGAAGAAGTTAATCTTGAGAGAATCAGTAGGCGGTAGTAGGAGGCCTGGTCGAGAACCGGGCCACAGGGAAGACGTTAATCTTGTGAAAATCAGTAGGCGGTAGTAGGAGGCCTGGTTGAGGACCGGGCCGCGGGGAAGACGTTAATCTTGAGAGAATCAGTAGGCGGTAGTAGGAGGCCTGGTCGAGGACCGGGCCGCGGGGAAGACGTTAATCTTGAGAGAATCAGTAGGCGGTAGTAGGAGGCCTGGTCGAGGACCGGGCCGCGGGGAAGACGTTAATCTTGAGAGAATCAGTAGGCGGTAGTAGGAGGCCTGGTTGAGGACCGGGCCGCGGGGAAGACGTTAATCTTGAGAGAATCAGTAGGCGGTAGTAGGAGGCCTGGTCGAGGACCGGGCCGCGGGGAAGAAGTTAATCTTGAGAAAATCAGTAGGCGGTAGTAGGAGGCCTGGTCGAGGACCGGGCCGCGGGGAAGACGTTAATCTTGAGAGAATCAGTAGGCGGTAGTAGGAGGCCTGGTTGAGGACCGGGCCGCGGGGAAGAAGTTAATCTTGAGAGAATCAGTAGGCGGTAGTAGGAGGCCTGGTCGAGGACCGGGCCGCGGGGAAGACGTTAATCTTGAGAGAATCAGTAGGCGGTAGTAGGAGGCCTGGTTGAGGACCGGGCCGCGGGGAAGACGTTAATCTTGAGAGAATCAGTAGGCGGTAGTAGGAGGCCTGGTCGAGGACCGGGCCGCGGGGAAGACGTTAATCTTGAGAAAATCAGTAGGCGGTAGTAGGAGGCCTGGTTGAGGACCGGGCCGCGGGGACGCTGAGCCCCGAAATCATCTCAAGATAACGTCAAGATAGAGATCCTGCGGCTTACAAGTGAAGCATAAAGGGATTCTGGAACTTCCAGCTGAAGCATAAAGGTATCCTGGAGCTTCCAGCTGAAGCATGAAGGGATCCTGGAGCTTCCAGCTGAAGCATGAAGGTATCCTGGGGCTTCCAGCTTAAGCATAAAGGTATCCTGGAGCTTCCAGCTGAAGCATAAAGGTATCCTGGAGCTTCCAGCTGCAACATAAAGGTATCCTGGAGCTTCCAGCTTAAGCATAAAGGTATCCTGGAGCTTCCAGCTGCAACATAAAGGTATCCTGGAGCTTCCAGCTGAAGCATAAAGGGATCCTGGAGCTTCCAGCTGAAGCATAAAGGGATCCTGGAACTTCCAGCTGAAGCATAAAGGGATCCTGGAACTTCCAGCTGAAGCATAAAGGGATCCTGGAGCTTCCAGCTGAAGCATAAAGGGATCCTGGAACTTCCAGCTGAAGCATAAAGGGATCCTGGAACTTCCAGCTGAAGCATAAAGGGATCCTGGAGCTTCCAGCTGAAGCATAAAGGGAACCTGGAGCTTCCAGCTGAAGCATAAAGGGATCCTGGAACTTCCAGCTGAAGCATAAAGGGATCCTGGAACTTCCAGCTGAAGCATAAAGGGATCCTGGAACTTCCAGCTGAAGCATAAAGGGATCCTGGAGCTTCCAGCTGAAGCATAAAGGGATCCTGGAACTTCCAGCTGAAGCATAAAGGGATCCTGGAGCTTCCAGCTGAAGCATAAAGGGATCCTGGAACTTCCAGCTGAAGCATAAAGGGATCCTGGAGCTTCCAGCTGAAGCATAAAGGGATCCTGGAGCTTCCAGCTGAAGCATAAAGGGATCCTGGAGCTTCCAGCTGAAGCATAAAGGTATCCTGGAACTTCCAGCTGAAGCATAAAGGGATCCTGGAACTTCCAGCTGAAGCATAAAGGGATCCTGGAACTTCCAGCTGAAGCATAAAGGGATCCTGGAGCTTCCAGCTGAAGCATAAAGGGATCCTGGAACTTCCAGCTGAAGCATAAAGGGATCCTGGAGCTTCCAGCTGAAGCATAAAGGGATCCTGGATCTTCGAACCGAAGCATAACCGGGGGTTTCACGTAATTGTCCCATGCACTCTGGTTGAGTTCTGCTTTCAACGCTTCTTTTCCAATGCACAAAGATATCACATTAAAGTGATGTGTCGACGAGAAAATCAGTAGGAGCCATGAGTTGTAAGCCTCGGGACTCCTATAGGATTCGGTTGAATAAATTGTCATCCACACTTGCGTGGAAATAAACATTCCACTCACCTGGGCTGTAGGAGACTCGAACCGCGGGCCCGCACACTCGTGGGGCCGAAACTCTATCGGCCGGGCTATGAGTAGGCTTTAATAAGGAAAGATTCCAGAGGCAACTTCTGCTACCATGCTGGAATTTTTTTTACTTTCCCCGACGACAACTGAAGCTCGGAGGAATTAGTGATCCACACCTGCGTCATATAAATACACATTTATATGCATATAAATGGAATACATGCCTCTGGAATCTTTACTTATTAAGACGATGCGATAGCCCAGTCGATAGAGCTTGGGCCTCACACGCATGGGGTCTGTAGTTCGCGTCTCTAACAGTCCAGGTGAAGGAAATTCAGTCGAATCTCGAGTTGCATTGCTTTTAAGCGTGTCGTGGTCTACGGCATTTGTTTAGAAGTACCCGGAGCATAGGTTCGAATCCTTGTCACGGCTCCTACTGATTCTCTCGTTGATACATCGCGTTAATGTGATTTCTTTGTGCAAGTTAATGCTCTTGTAATAACAGTCATGTCATGCATATGTATTTGTTATTGTGTTCCTGAGTTTGGTTACTAATTCAAAATGTTCATGTTCATTGAGCTGTGCATCTCTTGATTTGTTGCAGGCGAGGGGTCACAATAACGTGGCTGAAGTATGTTGACCAATCCACACACTAGAAAATGAAGGGAGGACAACGTTTCACTCCGTCCTGGACCATTCTCAATCGACAATCGGCTCGAGAACGGTCCAGGACGGACCGAAACGTTGTCGTCCCTTCATTTTCTAGCGTGTGGGGATTGGTCTTGATTTGTTTCTTGTAAGTTTAGCTTGGTTGACTAATCATACAGTATATACATCAGCAGACGAGGAGTCACGATAACGTGGCTGAAATACGACGACCAGACCACACACTAGAAAGTGAAGGGACGAAAGTGACGGGACGAGTCGTCCCTTGACTTCCTAGTGTGTGGTCTGGTCATCAATATATACATCAGTTTAGTGTATTTGCAGAAAGGTTTCCTACTTTTACTACCTGTTAAGTGTAATTATCGTACTCTGCACAATTGTAAATAAATTATAGTATCTTTACAGGTATGGCTTGCCGACACGAACCGACTACCGCCTCATAGTGGAGAACTTGTCGAGTCGAGTGTCGTGGCAGGTTAGTGGAGACCTGGAGAAAATCCTACAGCAGGCTTGGCCATTACCTTTTATAACTCTTATTTAATGTTTGTCTTTGTTGGGGGGGGGGGGATGACTGCATTGTCAAACTGCATCACGACTTTAATATCTTATTTCTTTTGAGGCCTTTTGAAAAACTCATTTGTTTGGTCTGGATCATTGTGTTTTCGGCAAATGAGAAGTCACAATAACGTGGCAAATGAGAAGTCACAATAACGTGGCAAATGAGAAGTCACAATAACGTGGCAAATGAGAAGTCACAATAACGTGGCTGAAAAATGTTGAGTAAACCACACACTATAAAGTGAAGGGACGCCGATGTTTCGGCTCTTCACTTTCTAGTGTGTGGTCTGGTCAACATTGTGTTTTATCATTACAATCATTTATAATTCATGATTTCAAACTATACTATGAGTGAAAAACATACACATCTGGTTATTATATATACATATCATTTTTATTTAAGCTTTACACTTTTCTCGAGGTCATATAACGATACAAGGTCAAAGTATTTCAGTTTTGGTGGAGAGTTGAGAGAGTAGAGAGTCTAGTTGATGCGGACTTTGGTCACATTTTGTGGAGGTCCGCTGCTTCGTCCGCTCTTGATACGTGGCTACAAAACTTTAGGGAAACATTTTGGGTGTTTTGAAGTTAAACTTGAAAGTTTAGTGGACTTTGTGGTGGAAAGTTTGTGTGTGTCACGTTAATAAGATCTTGAGGTCTTTAAAAAGAGTGATATATATATACATATACATTTATTTACTGGTAAACACTTGCAGGTATAAATTATGTAAACTATTTGTTAATTCATTCATATATTGACTTAGTCTTTTGTTATGAAAAGTGTAAATGAAATTAAAATGTTTTTGTGTAATGTTCAATTATGTGATATTTGTGAAAGGGTATTATTTAATGAGAGAGACTTAGATGCTCGGTATTGTGACTTGAGCGGTACTGTGCGTCTCTGGTGGCATCAACATGTGTACTGTGCGTCTCTGGTGGCATCAACATGTGTACTGTGCGTCGCTGGTGACATCGACATGTGTACTGTGCGTCGCTGGTGGCATCAACACGTGTACTGTGCGTCGCTGGTGACATCAACACCTGTACTGTGCGTCACTGGTGGCATCAACACTTGTACTGTGCATCACTGGTGGCATCAACACTTGTACTGTGCATCACTGGTGGCATCAACACCTGTACTGTGCGTCACTGGTGACATCGACACCTGTACTGTGCGTCGCTGGTGGCATCAACACCTGTACTGTGCGTCACTGGTGGCATCGACATGTGTACTGTGCGGCGCTGGTGGCATCAACATGTGTACTGTGCGTCGCTGGTGGCATCGATACGTGTACTGTGCGTCGCTGGTGGCATCAACACGTGTACTGTGCGTCGCTGGTGGCATCGACATGTGTACTGTGCGTCTCTGGTGGCATCGACATGTGTACTGTGCATCACTGGTGGCATCGACACCTGTACTGTGCGTCACTGGTGGCATCAACACCTGTACTGTGCGTCACTGGTGGCATCAACATGTGTACTGTGCGTCACTGGTGGCATCGACACCTGTACTGTGCGTCGCTGGTGGCATCGACACCTGTGCTGTGCGTCACTGGTGGCATCAACATGTGTACTGTGCATCACTGGTGGCATCAACACGTGTCATGTGAGCATGACTGTGTCACTGTCAGCGTTAACACGTGTCACTTACGGCTCACATGTCACTTACGGCCCACGTGTCACTTACGGCCCACGTGTCACTTACGGCCCACGTGTCACTTACGGCCCACGTGTCACTTACGGCCCACGTGTCACTTACGGCCCACGTGTCACTTACGGCCCACGTGTCGCTTACGGCCCACGTGTCGCTTACGGCCCACGTGTCGCTTACGGCCCACGTGTCGCTTACGGCCCACGTGTCACTTACGGCCCACGTGTCACTTACGGCTCACGTGTCACTTACGGCTCACGTGTCACTCACAGCTCACGTGTCACTCACAGCTCACGTGTTGCTTACGGCTCACGTGTCACTCACAGCTCACGTGTCACTCACGGCTCACGTGTTGCTTACGGCTCACGTGTCGCTTACGGCTCACGTGTCACTCACAGCTCACGTGTCACTCACGGCTCACGTGTTGCTTACGGCTCACGTGTCGCTTACGGCTCACGTGTCACTTACGGCCCACGTGTCACTTACGGCTCACGTGTTGCTTACAGCTCACATGTCGCTTACGGCTCACGTGTCACTTACGGCTCACGTGTCAAGGAGAGGCTATACCATCATCACGTGTCAAATCTGCCTACGTAGATGCTTATTAGCAAATGCTCATGACTTTCTATTGATCAATTTTCAGATTGAGGTAATGATGTTAATACATTATTGTATTTCCGGCAAAATTTCAATCATGTGTTATATACAATCATCTATTTATTTCATACGAGTTTTGAATGGAAGTTTCCTCTCGTCACTTTCGTACTGAAAGATATTCGTATGGAATTTTTTAACGGTTTATCAAACTTGTAGGAATAAAGCTTAATTTTTCATGAGAAATACAGTACTTCTTTGATCAGCATACTTACTGTATCATGGAACCCCCTTTTAGCATTCACGTAAAACATTGTTTGCTAAAGAGTCAATAACGTGGCTGAAATATGTTGACCAAACCACACACTAGACAGTGAAAGGGCGACGACGTTTCGGTTCGTCCTGGACCATTCTCCAGGACGAATTCATAGTCACAATCGACTTGAGAATGGGCCAGGACGGACTGAGACGTCGTCGTCCCTTCACTGTCTAGTGTGTGGTTTGGTCAATGTTTCAACCACGTTATTGACTCCTGGATCCGTCCTGGACCATTCTCCAGGACGAGTTCATAGTCACAATCGACTTGAGAATGGTCCAGGACGGACTGAGACGTCGTCGTCCCTTCACCTTCTAGTGTGAGGTTTGGTCAACAACTTTATATCTGACTCAGGGTGAATTACCTAGGTGTACTCGTCAGCTATTTCAGTACCTCACAACACTGGATAAGACTGAAGCAGTTGTACCAGACAAAATATCCCCCTGGATACTAAAGGAGGCAGCGCAGGCCCTCAGCGTGCCTCTGGCTGGTTGAGAGCCTCGCTCGTGGTATCCCGTCGTTCATATTAGCCGTTTTGAAGGTTCCAGTCCCTTTAATTTATACATTCCTGCCACAGTTAACACAAGATATTTTGGGAGAGTTGCAAGGTGCCTCAATGTTTTGTTGGGAGAGCTACACACCTATTAAATGGATGTGTTCTTGGGAGTCAGTAATAGCTTACTGGAGACCAGAGGCTAAAGCCCGGTCCCGTGACAGGTGTAAGGGAAGGGGAAGCGCCAAGCCATTGCGACTATATAGCACTTAGAAGGGGAAGTGCCAAGCTATAACGGCTATATAGCACTTAGAAGGGGAAGTGCCAAGTCATTGCGGCTATATAGCACTTAGAAGGGGAAGTGCCAAGCCATTGCGACTATATAGCACTTAGAAGGGGAAGTGCCAAGTCATTACGGCTATATAGCACTTGGAAGGGGAAGTGCCAAGCCATTGCGACTATATAGCACTTGGAAGGGGAAGCGCCAAGCCATTGCGACTATATAGCACTTAGAAGGGGAAGTGCCAAGCTATAACGGCTATATAGCACTTAGAAGGGGAAGTGCCAAGTCATTACGGCTATATAGCACTTGGAAGGGGAAGTGCCAAGTCATTACGGCTATATAGCACTTAGAAGGGGAAGTGCCAAGCCATTGCGACTATATAGCACTTGGAAGGGGAAGTGCCAAGCCATTGCGACTATATAGCACTTAGAAGGGGAAGTGCCAAGCCATTGCGACTATATAGCACTTAGAAGGGGAAGTGCCAAGTCATTACGGCTATATAGCACTTGGAAGGGGAAGTGCCAAGCCATTGCGACTATATAGCACTTGGAAGGGGAAGTGCCAAGCCATTGCGACTATATAGCACTTAGAAGGGGAAGTGCCAAGCCATTGCGACTATATAGCACTTGGAAGGGGAAGTGCCAAGTCATTGCGACTATATAGCACTTAGAAGGGGAAGCGCCAAGCTATTACGGCTATATAGCACTTAGAAGGGGAAGCGCCAAGCCATTACAACTATATAACACTTGGAAAGGGTCAAGAAAAGATTTTGGGATGGGGACGGGGGAAAGGGATGGTACCCAACCACTTGGTCGGTCAGGGGATTGAACGCCAACCTCCGTGAAGCGAGACCATCACTCTACCGTCCAGCCCAAGTGCTTGGACATGTTGAGGCTGCAGATGTGTACTTACCAATTTGTGCTTGCGGGGAGGGGGTTGAGCTCTGGCTCTTTGGTCCCGCCTCTCAACTGCCAATCAACAGGTGTACAGGTTCCTGAGCCTATTGGGCTCTATCATATCTACATTATAAACTGTGTATGGAGTCAGCCTCCACCACATCACTTCCTAATGCATTCCATTTGTCAACCACTCTGTCACTAAAAAAGTTCTTTCTAATATCTCTGTGGCCCATTTGGGCGCTCAGTTTCCACCTGTGTCCCCTTGTGCGTGTTCCCCTTGTGTTAAATAGACTGTCTTTATCTACCCTATCAATTCCCTTGAGAATCTTGAATGTGGTGATCATGTCCCCCCTAACTTTTCTGTCTTCGAGCGAAGTGAGGTTGTGTTGCAGGGTAGATGTGCGGGCAGTTGCACTTTGATGTGTATTAGCTGAATGTTTTGCCCAATATAAATATATATTTCCAGTTTCTCTCATCACTTTGAGGACCATCTTTCACCCTATGCCCCTGTTACCTAGCAGTAAAATAGGTACCTGGGTGTTAGTCAGCTGTCACGGGCTGCTTCTTGGGGGGTGGAGGCCTGGTCGAGGCCCGGGCCGCGGGGACACTAAAGCCCCGAAATCATCTCTAGATAACCTCAAGATACCTGCTTGATGGGGTTCTGGGAATTCTTTTACTCCC